TATATATATAACATTTTATAGTCATTTAACTGATTTTATTTATATAAAAACATCTTCGATAGATTTTTTAAAGTAGAGAAAATGTAGATTTTAGGTAGAATTTTTGTTCTAAGAGATTCTTCGAAATAGAAAAAGTAGGATAAAGAAGCTCTCAGTTTAAAATGACAAATTGCATGAAAAAGTAACGTATTTTAACTTGATTCCTATTTTGGTTAACGTACTTTCAAAACTTTCATTTTGGTAGCTAAGATGTAAAGTTTTAAACATTTAAGTACATGGGTAACTGATTAAAGCATTAATCGGTTATCATGCTAATGTGATATCCAACTTAGTATTATTTGCTAACGTGGTTAGAGACATGAATTTTTTTAATCTAAAATTAGTCTTTTTTTTAATCTAAAATTAGTTTTCAACCGGTTATCCGGGTATTTAAATGCTTAAAATTTTACATCTTAGATACCAAACTGGAAATCTTGGAAATACGTTACCCAAAATAAAAATCAAATTAAAATACATTAATTTTTCATGCAATTTACCTATTTTAAAACTATAGTAAACAAATACTTTTGTTATATTTTTATTAATAGAAAACTTTTAAATTAAATATTGAAAAGAAAAAGGTATAATCTCCAAAATAATAAACTATTGAAATGAAATATATATTTTTCCTATAAAATTTTGGTTCTCTAATTTTAAAGAAATTTTAGAAAACACCATAATATTAATTTATTGATTTAATGAATTAAGAGTTCGTTTATACAAATATTTATTCTATGTGTTTATTGACAAGAGTATATATTTTTTACTTATTTTACCTATCGAATAAGATTCTGGTCTATTAAAATAACATCGTATGTAACAATTTATCCTATAAGTGCTAATTGGATAAGACGCTCGGTCTTTGTCGTCGCTCTTACCGGGTAAGATTTTTGATTTTGGTCATATTTATTCGGTAAGGTAATTGACACAATAACCACTTACCAGGTAAGCATTTGATGAACGACTTCCAAGATTTAATATCTTAAAATTAAAGGAAAAGTTAAAAAAAAAACTCAATGAACTATTTCATTTTGAACGATTAAGTCCCTGAATTATTTTTTAAATGAAAAACCATTAAACTTTTTTATTTTAAATGATTATGTCCCTAAATTATTTTTTAAATGTAAAACTATTTAATGAATTAGTTGGTTCTATATTTTGCTCTAGAATGGTACTCACACAATGCAGGAAGATATATTTTGATTTTAATGTTCCGTTCTATATTTTGCTCTATCGATGTTATAATGCGATTTTATGTGTTCTGATAAAAAGATTTTTTTTTTATTTTTGAATAAAATATAAATTTGAAAAAAAAAAATCGATATTAGTATTAAATTAACTATTTAAAAGTTCTCGTTTTTGTGTAATTTTTTTTATTTAATTTTTTATTATAATTTAATTGAAGTTTAATAACGAACTAATTTATTTTTGCTTTAATAAAATAATTTTAAAATATAATAATTAAGTATTCTGTTAGAGCTCAATGATTATCTTAATCATATTTTAGATTTTATATATTTAAAATGATGTTTATCATGTATTTGATTATGTTTATCTGTAATTAGTTACACGAATTCAAACATGAAGCTTTAATAAAATGTACTTATGTACATTCTACTTATAATCTTAAATTTTAAATAATATATATCAATAAACAGTAATTTATATATAAAAGATGTTTTTATCAAATACTTTATAATAATAATACATACTTAAATAAATAAGTAGTGGATTGAGATCCCCACTTTGGAATATTTCCTCACCTCCACTGACAATGACCACTCATTTAGTCAAACCATAAACCTTTCCTATCAAAGACCATGTTCTTTTGTCCTTAATGTACTTTTCCTAATTATTAATATAGTAAGTTACCTTTTTAGTCCCTATAGTTTGTTAAGAATTTCTATTTTAATCCTTATAATTTAAAATTTATTGTTTTATTTGATTATATGGTTTACAATTCATTTCTATTTTAATCTTTCATACTTAAAAGTAGTGTTTTGGCTTCAAAAATAAATAAATTGCAAACTTTAGGGATGAAAATCGAAATTTTATTAATCTTTTACCCGCCACTAAAATAGATGTTACGATTTGTTTACGATAAATGTGATGTTTGTACCATTTCTCCAATGCTGCCATTATATATATAAAAAAAAAACCCGTCTTTTTCATTTGCTTCTGTGTTCTTTACCAACAGTAATCAGGTAAAAACCAAAGGGCCTTTGGTCTAGCGGTATCGTAACTCTTGGCCTTCTAGAAGGTCAGGGGTTCAAACCTCACCATAGGTGAGGAAAGTGTGTGAGTTTTTTTGTTGCATTTGCCGTATATATATATTATATACTTCAAAAAAGATCAAGTAAAAATTATCACCCTCACTTATCTTACGAGAATAAGTGTAAATCTTGAATAAGCATAGACATGAAGTTTCCCCCAAATTTGAATGACGAGAAACTCAATATTCAATGATGTAGCAAAATTTCATGATATCATAACATAGAAAGGCTGAAATCAGTAATAATTGAAATTAAAAGGAAATTTTATTTTCACGTTTTGGTTAAATTGCTTCAGAAATCTTCTAATTCTATCTACTGATTCCAAACTTAAAATCAACTTTACATTTTTTTTTAATTTATCCGAATTTAGTCACTCCAAATCATCTATTTTTTATTAACCTAGATATCTAATCCGCTATATGAGCCAACTAATCCCAGGACAACCACCTGCTTTGCGGGTAGCCCGAAGTCACCGCATTTGAACTTCTGTGGCCACAGGGGGATTTTTATTTCTACTTGAATTTGAACCTGAGACTTATAGGCACTTTTGATCTTTGGAGCCTAAGCTTAAACCACTTTCATACTCAGAACTGTTGCATATCAGTTTCTGCAATTACATTTTAAATACCAGTAATTTTGGAAAGTGGTTTATCTGTTTATTGCCACTTCAACCACCACTCTACAATCTAATAAAAGTAACCAAATACAATTTCTTTATTTCGATTTAATATAATTTTTTCATTTCAATTAAATAAAATATAAAAACATATTTATGTAAATTATGAGTTAATAATTTAATTTTTAATTTAGATTTATGTTTGTTAGAATTGATTAAAATAGTTTTAATTTAAACATAAACTAATTGTATTAATAAATAAAATAATTTATAAACTAATAATGGTAAAATAATATAAATAGGGTTATTGGGTTATCATATATAATGGGCTATTGGGCTTTCAGCAAATTGGATTTAGCCCACTTCTTTTTCTTAATCCAAATGAGCCCAAGACAACTTTTCAGCCCAAAATCAGTAACCTTCCACGATACCGTTAAAGATGATGTAAAAATTACAATATTCATACCGTATAAAAGTATCTTCATTTGTTCTCACTTTCTCGCACACTAGGAGACCAAGGATTTTTGCTGAGCAAATGCACCGTTAAGAATGATCAAATGTCCGTAAAGTTGTCTAACGTGACCAAATTTCACACTTCGAGATATTTTTAAGTTTTTTGGTTGATTTTCAGGGTCTTTTTCAGTTGATCTCCCTTGTATTTTTTAATATCTCAAAGCACTTTTCAAAGTTTTGGCATGTGCACCTCTCATACCCCAAAAAATATTGTACTTGCAAAAATCAGTTGATCAGATACACGGGACCCATCTGGGCATTCATAGGTCCACTCCTATTCTTACAAAAGTAAAAAGTTCTGACTTGATCCCGACTCTTAAGGGCTGTTTACCTAAATGCTTACCCGGTAAGTGTTTACCGTTAGAAACCAACATTATAATTTATTTTTTGGGTAAGATTGTAGTATATCAAAATGGTATCGTATGCAACAATATATATGGTAAGCGCTTACCCGAGTAAGAGTCTTCACCCTCACTTACCGGGTAAGACTCTCTATCCTTAACATCGCTCTTACCATGTAAGATTCTTTTGGCCTTGTCATGTTCGTCCGGTGAGAAAAATTACTCGGTAAGCACCTACCTGGTAAGTAAACGGGCCCCTAAGTAAGCAAAATCAAATTGACCAAGAACCAATTGACTGAAACTATTACAACCATAAATGGCTAATCGAAAACCATACCAAACATCAACGACCAATGTCGAACCACCCCCACGCTAAAACTACAATCCGAACTCAAATATCGGTTAAAATCCAAATCTATATAGATCATTCGGTTAAATCCAATCGGCTCAAATAATCCCGATTTAGCGACAAAATAATGAAGTTTAAGTGCATAAACTTCAAAAGATTATAACAAGATAATCTTTAAAACCCAAATAGAACTAAGATGTTCATTGTCAAATAGACTTTGATACATGTATCTCTATATCTCAAAGATCTAAATTCTAACCCCTAAAATTTTCCTACCCTACTAAAACTTTCTCAAAATCTTCCTAAACAAAAACCCTAAAACACCCCTAAATTCATCAAGAAACGTATAACCTAATGGAAATCTCGAAAGAAACAAGACTATACGAAGAGGAAAAAAAAACCCGCCATTTTTGGTATCTCGGTTTTCTATGGGTTTTTGATTAGTTGTAACAGAGGTTATTTACATATGGGTTCATTCTAATAATCAGCTTGAAGAAATTTCTCATAAGTTGTACCAGTGAGAGTCTTGTTGACTTCTTCCCAGTTCTTGATGTGTTCTGATAAAGATCCTTTGTGTATCTTGACCTGCTGGCTGGTCAAATTCATTCGTGGCAGCTTTAGAAAATCTTCGACTTCTATTAGTTTCTGCTGCAGTTAGAAACAAGAAACGAGCGTACCCATCAGCTTTCTTGCACCAGATTCAAAGTTTTCCGTGCGGGCCAGCTTGCGTGCACCTTGACTAATCTCATGGAGTCTTAAAAGATAACAGCCAGGACATCCCCAATAGCCCTGAAAAGACTCAACTGGCACCTACGGAGAGGAGCCCTCAAGCGTTTGGTACGCAGTCATGACTGGACGGGCAAGAGTGAGGTGGGTGTGTGAAATAATTGTGTAAGGTTTTAGTGTTTTAATGTGACATGGGTAGTTTAGTAATTTACCGATCCCATAACCCTGGTTTTTGTTCCACCTATTTTGGGGGGACAGAAAAAATGCATTTTTGGTCCAACTCGGTCATGTCCAATCCCAATCTAATTGTCACACGAAACATGGGACACAAGTTTTTGTAATGTCCTATAATATACTGCCGCGTACCAAACACGTCCTGAAGTTAATATCCCTAGTCAGGAAAATTCCTAGTGGCCTTGAAGAGACAACTGGCGACCCATGAGGGAGGAGCCCCAAGGACTGGCTTTCGTTTGCTAGTTGAGCTGGCCCTCAAGAATTTGCGCAATGATAGGAATACATAACATAAAAATGAAGGCGAACCCGTGTGATAGGAAATTTAAAGAAAATAAAGACGACGGATTTTGAAATGAGTGATGCTTACAGAGGGATCTTTCATGAGATCTTCGTAGTATATTATGATGTGTCTAGTGCTATTGAAGTAGTTGAGTGCCTTCTCGGCTGTCGATTCCATCCCTCTTAAATCCGATTTCAACGATGTTATGTTGAGTTCAGGCTTGTATTTTGAAAGTAAATCAGCCTGAATGAACAAGATCATGCAAATTTAATGAATTTGTAAGAAGTAAGAAAATCTATGAAAACAAGAGTCCACCAAGTAGATAAAAAGGAAGTTGTGTTCATGAGCAATATATGCGCATATATATATATAGAGAGAGGGGGGGGGGATGTTTCAAATACAGACCATGACATTGCTACAAACAATACAGACCAATCAATTGATATATTTATGGAAATGATGAGGGCTTATTTATTATGGGTTGGTTTCCGGTGAGAAGGAGAGTTAATATGAGAAGCGTAAGAAGGGATTTCCACCCTTGGATGCACATTAGGATGAGATGCACCGAGATACACATGATCAATCCCCGTATCAAGCGAGATTCATGGGTGGGTTTGAGATAAACATGATCAAGGGTCCAGATCCCTTCTTACGCTTCTCATATTAACTCTTCTTCTCACACGATCCTTCGCCTATATATATATACACATACACACACACATATGTTGATGAAGCATTGTGAGAGAATGGAAGTTAATGTGAGAAGCATAAGAAGGGATCTGAACCACCCCATGAATTGCACTTGATACGAGAATTGATCTGGTGCATCTCATCAGTCTTGAGATTCGATTAGGATTGATCCAAGGTGGAGATCCCTTCTTACCTTTCTCACCGGAACCTAACCCATATATGTGCGTATAAATAGATATAGGCGAAGGATCGTGTGAGAAGGGAAGTTATGGTGAGAAGCGTAAGAAGAGATCTGAACCATTGATCACTTTTAATCTCATGCCCACCCATGAACTATGTTTTAGAAGGGAATTGATCTGGTGCATCTCGATGCACCTCATTAGTGTTGACATTCAATCGGGATTGATTCAAGGGTGAAGTTATCGTAGGAAGCGTAAGAAGAGGTCTCCACCCTTTGATCAATCCTAATTGATAGTGAGAAGGGAAGTTATGCTGAGAAGCGTAAGAAGAGATCTCCACCCTTGGATCAATCCTAATTGAATGTCAACACAATGAGGTGCACCGAGATGCACCGTATCAATTCCCTTCTAAAGAGCAGTTCATGGGTGGACATGAGATTAAAAGTGATCAAGGGTTCAGATCTCTTTCTTACGCTTTTCACCATAACTTCCCTTCTCACACAATCCTTCACCTATATATATATGGGGAAATCATATACTCCCTCCGTCCCAAATTAAGTGTCTAGTTTCTATTTTAGTTTGTCCCAAAATAAGTGTCTACTTTCTAATTATATTCCTAACTATGAGATGGAGAAATTCATTTCTCTCTATCTTATTAAGGTTAAAATTGTCATTTAGTTAATTAAAAAATGTAATAATTACAAATTTCTAAAATTTGTGTAGATTGTTGGGAGGGAGAGGTACCTCCTCGGGTGAGTGTACATGAGAAACATGGACTCCGTTTAGAAGCTTAGCATCTTTATCGAAGGAATTTGCTAGCATCGAAACCAATCTACGCAACACATTTCTTCGTAAGAGGAAAATTACATTAACACCCCTATCATTGAAGTATTGTTCAATCTCTTTAGGATATTGCATCAATCCCTGCATTGTCATAAAGTATGGTTTCTTAGAAGATATATGACGGAATCATAAATACCAGCTCTTGCAATTATCCATAAACATGAAGCTCACTACTAATTTTATAAGAGTGTTTGGTACGCAGGAGAAAATGCGACAATACATAACAAAAACTTGTTGTTAGAATGGAACAAGACCGAACAGAGTAGGATGAAACTGCAGCTTTTTTGTCCCACCAAAATAGGTGAAACAAAAATCAGTGAGATGGGACAAGATAGGTAAAGTAGTAAACTACCCATGTCAAATAAAAACCTTAAAACCTTCTACAATTCTTTCACCTGCCTACCTCACTCTTTCTTCGATGAATGCAGTTTAAATGTTGGATAACTTACAAGGGTAAAAATGGAAACCAATTTTATAATAACTGTGAATTAAATGTAATAATAGGAATCCAAAAATCATTGTGCAAAAAGAAACACCAATCTGTTCTCCGTAAGCTTCAAAAATCCGAAGATGCTTAAAAGATCGCATACCTGATTAAGCATCCATTTGAAACCAATTGCAGCCGAACACTCATTCTTGGAAGAACTAGTAAACCAATCCAAATTGTAAACTCTATCCAACGTTTGAATAACGGACGAAACATTATTCCTCCTAAACTTTGGCCCGAAAATCTCACCATTCGAGCTTATGTTTAAATGACTATTCAAAAAAGTCTCAAACCATCCGCTTCCCGATCTTTGCATAGATACAATTGCAAACAAACGAACGGGATTTCCAGCACATTCAGACCTGAATTCAACCGTATTTTATCTCAGAAACTAGATATACTTACAAATCTTTACAAACAGAAAGATGGGTTTTCATTTTTCGAAGATTTACCTGTTGAAAGTTTTTGGTTTTGGGTAATGCAAATAAGGGATTTGAGAACGATCGATAATGGTGTCGTAACAGGGCCTCTTGAAGTCCTCAAACAATAAAAACTTGCTCTTGTTTTGCAGGTTCATTTGCTTTAAACATATAGAACATATATAAATACCACACACCATTGCAATTGCTGATAGCATCAATCTCAACACCAATGAAGACTTTTTTAGAGGTTTGATTGTAAGAGAGTCCTGTAATTCAAGAAAGCAAGGGTATGTTTGTTAGCAGCTTAATGAGCTTAACGGGGCCCACATCTTATTCGGTCAGCTATACATATACGTCTGATAGTGGCTTAATAATTTGTAGGAAGTGGCTTATTCATTAAGCTTCTATACGAAGCTTTATGCAGAAAGCCAAGTTTTTTCCAAATCTGTCCCTCCCAATTAAAAAACACAAACACTTCATCTATGAAAATACCCTCCAAACAAAAACCTTCTTGAGCTATTAAGACAGATTAATCCACATAGATTGTTTTCTCCATACAGGACTAAATGAAAAACCAACCAAACAGCCCCTTAAGCAATAAAGGTCAAATCAAGGGACATATTTATGGTCAAATTGAAGTATTAAAAGAACAGTAATTACAGAATCTCAAAGGCAAATATCATCGAACACAATGCAAATCTAAGATGATTCAAACATATAAATCCAATTAAACTTGAAAAATCATTCAAACCTATCTGGTTCTACTGCTAAATGACATCAGCAATTGGAAATTTTCCAAATTGGGTTTCGAATTTCAACCAAAATCTCAACCCAAAAACCAAAATATTCATGTTCCCAAGAACCCCAGATCAGTAAATGCAAGAACAGCATCAAATTTCACAATATTTAGAAGCTTGCATCAATTGCTAACCTCAAAATTTCTACATAAAAGGCTTCTAAACTTGATGATATTATCAACAACATAAACAAAGAGGGAAGAACAGATGAAAATAATCAACACCCAATTCGAAACAACAAGTACCTTATTGAAGGAGCAAAGCAGTTCCGCCATTAATGATCCCGAAAAGAAATAAAATCAGGATCTTACGATGCAGAGCTCACAGAGTCTTAGATACTAGTGAGTTCTTCACCTCTTCTCTTTCGTCGTTAATGGCGATTCCTTAAAATATAAATATTTTCAGAGAGAGAAAGAGAGGAAGAACCCTAGACGAAATAAACAACGCTCTCTCCTCCTAGTGAAGATCGAAGGGGGGAAAGAAAGGCAAAAAAACACAGCTGGGTATCTGGCTTTTAGCTCCAGATTATTAAAATAGGGGTGTAATTAATTTGCTCTCTGATCTATAAAATTTCTATAAAGCAACTACGTAATTAATGATGAAATTGCATTACCCAGATCATGACGAAATCGAATATAATTTCACAAGAACTCTGCACCCACTCACTGCAATTGCGCGTGCTTTGAATGAGTGAATGGATTTGACTTTTGTTGCTGGTTCTTCGCAAGAAATTTTTCATGATGCCCAAGAATTTTAGTTTTTCTTGTATTAATGCTTCCCATATGATGTTATCAAATATTATTTTATGAAAGTTTCAAACACACCCCTTGCAGTTTGGGAGCTTTTCCCAAACACCCCCTAATTTATTTAACAAAATTTGTCTTGGTTCGTATTTAATGTAACAACGAATTTCCTTTTCTGAATTTGAGCCAAAAAATTGATTTCTAGCAACCAAATCGACCTTGTAAGAAACCCGCTTCCAATGACATCAGTTTGAATTGATATTTTTTGGCTCACTCAGCAATTAAGGCTAGCAGGGGATGTGATCAAACCAGAGACATGTCTTGTCATTAAGTGGAATCGTCCCGCTCCTTTGTTACTAAGGGGTTGTTTGGTAGTTGCTGAATGATTTGGTGCTGAATGATTAAGAGACTCATGATATAATGCAAAATGAAATATTATTGCTTGGTAATTATTTACAATGAAATTAGGGTGTTGAATGGTTAAGGGAGGTTTAGGATACAAAATCATTCAGAGGGTTTTAAAACTATTAAGTGACAGACTTTTTTTTGTCAAACAAGATTCACCTCTTCACGATTCATAGGTCGCCTCTTAATGGAACTATTAAGAGGTAAACAAACAACCCCTAAGCTACGTAAGGCTTTTTTTCCTTTTCTTTTTTGTTTTATCGAGAAGTGTAACCAATGTGCAATTCTTTGGATTTTGTATTAAGACTGTCTCAAATGGGGACACCAAATCTTACACAAACTACCAAATTTAACGTCAAATCATTCCAATTGGGACATTAAATCTTACGCAAAGTTCGGTGTGATGCATAGTAAATTAGTAAGAACATCTCCAACAGATACCATATATTTTCTCTAAAAAGAGCATCAAAGTCAAAATCTCTAAAAAAATTACATTCAACCTTAGCAGCTACTATATTTTAAAATTTTCAGTATTAATTATATTATTAAAGTATTCAGTACATTTAATAAACTATTATTCATCTCTCAGAGATATCTTCTAAATCTCTATTTTAGCATAGTTGTTGTAAATGCTTTTACACACTAAATTTGGTGTAACACTATTCATTTATGCCAATAGAAAAATATAGAATATAGTTTAATTAGAATATTATATTTTATGTAAAACTAATACATTTATTGTTTGCACCAACATTTACATCAATTTTTATGGATTTGGAATTTACCCCACTGGAGATTCCAACGCCCTCATTATACCTAACAAACGAATTTTCAGCCTGCATGGTATTTATTGATTTCAACGAGACATTTTTTCATGTAATCAATTAAATATAACTTGATAAGTCGATATCATCGTTTATTGATAAAAATATGTACAAAATATACGAAATTGAACATTTATTATACTAATTAAGAAAAAGAAAAAACCTTCATCATTGCACTAAAAAGAAACTAAGGCAAATTTCATCATGCTCTGATGAAGTTTAGCCATATTAATCAAACTCGACTGATAAGAGTAGTTTAGTTCGTTGAAGCCACGCAAAATTGGTGTATACATACGTTCGATATATTATCCCTGCCGAATTGTCATAACAGTAGTCGGTAGGGAGATGACATGATCATCCAGTTGAGGTGAGATCTCGGGTTCGAACACTAATACCATCAACCTGTCTTTAGGATACATCGATTTTCCTCTTCCATAATGATTGTGAGACTGATGTGGTAAGGGTGTTCCAGATGGTAGCATATATCTCTTTTAATCTTTTATGTTCGATATTTTTAATCTTGTTTATGAAACAAATGACTTATAAATCAGAATCAGATTTGTCACCTGAATGCAAAAGTTTGTTACATTTTCTGCATTTATGTAACAAATGAAAAGTATAAGGGGTTCTTTTTTAATGTTTTAAAATCAAGGGTTATTTGTGCAAATTAGTCAAAGAAGATGACATTAAAGTGGTAAAGGGGCTAACACACTCATTTTCTTTATAAAAACAGCTTTTCCACAAATCTTTTTAACTTTACCAATTCAACCCCAAATTTTAAAATTGTTGTCAGTAAAAAAAAATTCAGTTTCTAAGACTTTGTATTATTTGAATATACTAACACATTACTTTTAATATATACAGAGAGATCATTCAGATTGTTTGTTTTTTCCAGTTTTTCAGAGGCATTTATGTCTTATTGTCTTCTTATCTGGTAAAAGGTAAATCAATCTCTTATTTATCTGTTATTATTCTTCAAACCCTCAACAACGGCGCTTCTCAATTGATTAATTTAAATCGATAATTTCTCTCAATCAATCCTTACGTCTCTCAATTGATGTTTTTAATAAGATTTAAATGTGTTAATTATGTTAATGACATACTTTCGTTTTTTAAATGAATGCTAATTATATAATTTAGATGTAAAATTCGTAATGATGATGAATAAATATGTGAAATTGTTTAAATTTTATTTATAAATTCAACAATATAATTTTTTTAATGGGTAAAATAGACAATTTAAACAAATTCAGACGTTTATCAGTTTATAAAAATAAACAGTCTGATTTCAAACGTCAACACCGCCTCTTATAAATCAGAAGTGAAATAAGACTTTAGACATTGACACTTCTTAAAAAACAAACATCGCCTTAATCATACCGCTGAGAACCAATACATCATGTGTCATTTTATATGATTTTAAACATTTAAAACTATGATTTACATTATTATTTGTTTCACAATGTGAAACTCTTTGACGTGTTTGTGAAACAAAAAAGTATATGTAAAAAAGTTTCATAACGTGAACCAAATACATGTGAAACAAATATATGTTAATCAATGCATCAAATACCAGTCTTGGATAAAAAATCATATGAAACAGTATTTCGGATTAAAGATTTTCACAATTATCACAATACACTGGCTTTCGTAATATCTTATATAAAAAAACTTTTGAAAATAAAAAAGAAAGAAAAAAAGAACTCGAAATTAATGATGATAAAGATGGGGAAATCATATGCATTAAATGATGATGTCATGGTTAACTTATACTCAATCTATTTAATCATCATGCATGGAGGCCTTAAAATTCACAAGTAAAAATGGTTTTAACGCGTTTTTTATTTTTCAGATTATTGGTGCATTTATTGTTGATAATTGTCCTTTATCTATATCTATATTATCTTATAAATCATTTAGCTAAAATTTTTAAAAACTCTTACAACTCTTAAACTCGTTCATCCCTAAACGATTTCATCCCTATCCGATTTCATCTCATATCTGAATTCGTGTAACTAACTGCAGATAAACACAATCAAATACATGATAAACATCTCATTTTAAATATAAAAAATCTAAAATATAATTAAGATAATTATTGAGTTCTAACAGAATACTTAATTATTATATTTATAAAATATTATTTATTAAACCAAAAATAAATTATTTTATTATTAAACTTTAAATTAAATTATAAAAAAAATAATCTATACTATATTATAAAGTATTTGATAAAAACTCTTAAAAACTATTTTTTATGCGTAAAGTATTGTTTATTAATGCATATTACTTAAAACTTAAGATTACAAGTAGATTGTGCGTAAGTACAACTTATTAAAACTCTATATCTGAATTCGTGTAACTAATTGCAGATAAACATAATCAAATACAA